CAACTGAAGAATCAATAAAGAAAATGTAGTACATTTATACAATGGAGTACTACTCTGTGTGGAAAAAAAACAAAACAATAACAAATGGAATCTTGAAATTCACAGGAAAATGAATGAAACTAGAAGAAACCTGAGTGAGGTAACCCAGTCACAAAAAGACAAACATGTGAGGGGAGGAGAGAGGGAGTTAGGAGAAAAAAAGAAAGGGAGAAGAGGAGGGGAGAGGAGAACATGAAGGAGCAGGAATGTTGAGTTGGGGGAAGAATAGAGGAAAGTAAGAAAAGAGATATCATAATAGAGGAAGCCATGATAGGTTTTAAGAGAAATGTGGCATTAGGGAAATGCCCAAAGATCTATAAGGATGACCACAACTAGCAATCTAAGCAATAGTGGAGAGGCTACCTTAAATGCTTTTTTCTGATAATCAGATTGATGACTACCTTATATGCCATCCTTGAGCCTTCATCCAGTAGTGATACCTCTGAAGGGAATAGAACATCTGACTAGGAAGCCAGTACAGTTGCCATATGAAAGGGGCTGTGCACCTGTCATCATGACCACTTAAATGGCACTAAATTTTCTTGGGATAGACAATGGGATTTATCTTTGCATAACCAGCAGAGACAGAGGAATATCCATGTATGCCCATGAAGGTTTATAACGTCATTTCAGGAAACAATCTAGAGATAAACTAAACAACCTGATTATGATGGTGTCTTTGTTAGTGTTACTGTTGCTGTGATGAAACACCATGACCAAAAGCAACTTGTAGAAGAGAGGGTTTGTTGCTCTCATGGTTCCACATAACAGTTCATTATCAAAAGCAGTGATCGTAGGAACATGGAAGCAGGAGCTGGTGCAGAGGTCATGGAGGGTTGATCCTTACTGGCTGGCTCTTCATGGCTTGCTCAGTCTGCTTTCTTATTAAACCTAGAACCACCAGTCCAAGAATGGCACCAACCAAAATGGGCTGGGCCCTCCCCTATAAATCACTAATTAAGAAAATACCCTACAGGTTTCCCTGTAACCTAGTCTTATGGAGGCATTCCCTCAAGTGAGACTCCCTTCTCTCTGATGACTCCAGCATGTGCTGGCTTGTCATAACACTGGCCAACATACATGGTGTCTGCTTTGTCCTTGACCTTAATAATTTTCTGTTGTTGCCTCTTTTTAAAACACAAATGCCTAATGAAATCTGTGCTTGTGGCTAGATTTATTGTACTACATCTTTTAAATTTCACAATCCTTCAAAAGAAACAAGTTTGGTTTGGGCCACATGATTGAAGAAGTTAAAGGGCCACAGGTAATGTTCAGGACTCAGCAGCTACTCCTAAGAATTGAATCAGAATTGTTCCACAGGTATTCACAGACTAAGAAATAAAATCCATTCAGATGGCTAAAACAGAAAGTAATTTTAAAGTTTTTCTATTGTTTGTTGATATGCTTTTGGCAGGGTAGAGGCATAACCTAATTAAATTAAGAAAATAATACAGGCAACTGAACTCTTGTTCAAAAATATTATTATGAAGTTTGAACTACCAACCTCTGTTCATACTGGGGGATGTTTCTTCATCCTCCACCTTATCTTTCTCTTCTTATTCCTCATCCTTATTCTCTTCCCCCTTCTTCCTCCTCTCCTTATGTCTCCTCCTCCTCCTTCTTTTTATGATACAAGATCTCATGTATCCTAGTCTAACTACTTAAAACTGCCTTGCAATAGAGACTGGCCTTAAATTATTTGCTATTCCTTCTCTCTCCTCTCTCTTTGCTTGGATTATAAGAAGGCATCCTTCAAATACCCCTCAATTTCATCATTTGCTTCTGAAGTAACATCATATATGAGCAAAGCTTTGCGTATATCTTTGAAAAATGCATGTATCATGGGAACCACAATTTTGGGAGTGTTTGCAAATAAATCATGCCTTAAACAGGTACTATCTAACACTGACAGCATATTCATTTAAAGTATAGTAAGTCTGCTCTTGGGATTTGTTTCCTTCTCTTGGGTTGCCTTGTCCAGCCTTGCTATGAAGGTTTTTGCTTTGTTCTGTTACATTTTGTTTTCTCGTGTTTTGCTGCTGTTTCTTGGAAGTCAGTTATTTTTTGAAGGGAAATGTAAGGGGAGAGGATCTGGGGTACAGGGGAAGGGTGTGGGAAACTGGGAAGAGTGGAGGGAGGAGAAACTGTGGTCGGGAGATATTGTTTGAGAGAAGAATTTATTTTCAACAAATAAAAAAACTTTTAAAATTACAAAATATGTTATATGTATGTATCTGTGCTATCTGTCTCCCATTTCTATGGTGTTTGGATAGTCCTACCTTTAAGCATTATATCTAACATAAACAAGATTATTCCTGAGGCTACAAAGAGAAAACTTTTTCAATTAAATATATGTTTATATTTGACTATTTAGAGCCTCAGTTTCACTGAAAAGATATTTGAAAAGTATTTTATTTCTGTCTTGCAGAAATACAAATATGGACACTATGGAAATGGCAGAAGTTTAAATATTTGATTATTAAAATTGCCAAGTGCATCTTCATGCTTTTATATTTGCTTATTTATATTTTTTACACAAAATGAAAATTAAATGACACAACAAAACAATATGGTTGATCATATATCTGCAGTCATACAACTATGTATCTGTCAGCATGATACACAAATTGCAAGAATTATCTATTTTGAGGATGTCATCAGTGAATGTTCAGAAGCTGGTGAATACATTAGAAAAATGAGTTTGTCTCAGATCGTGTATTTAATAACCTCCCCATTTCCTTAAAATTATACATATCTAAACTCCTTTTCTTTTTGAAGACATTAATGCAACTGAGGTGTATTGATAAAAATTTAAAGATTTATTCATAAGTATATATGTGTGCTTCTGTGGGAATGCTTGGGTGTGAATTCAGGTACTGTGGGGTCTAGATGAGGATGTCACATTCCCAGGAAGTTGTGAACTGCTTACTCCTGGTGCTGTTAACACAGCTCAGGTCCTCTGCAAGAGCAGCATGTACTCTTAAACATTGAGCTGTGTCTCCAGAAAGCATTAGTACATTATATTCTCCTTTCTTTGCAGTATTATTTATTTGATTTTTAGTGTGATTATATAGTCAAGGTGCAGTGAAAACAGAAACTGATGTCTATTTTCCATAGACAGTTATCATAGCTATTGTTCTTAATAATCATTCCTAATGTGTTACATTGAATAGTGTTGAAAATATTTTCTATGTATCAAAAGTGATACTAATATCCCCCTCTCATCTAACTTTTTACATCCAAGTATTCTCAGACAGAGGGAATACTCAAGTCCTGTGCTTTGCGTATTGGGAGTACAATGCATATATTGATGAGTTGAATTGTGAGACTTTTTGGCTACTTAAAATGCCCCTTCCACCACAGTTTTTTTTAATTTTTATACAATATTTGTTTTTTTTAAAATTCTATCTGCAATTCTTTTACTGTGAGTTATAACTGGAGAAAAGGTACAAACACTCCTAGTTATGGTTTTCACATCCCAGCATCTTCGTTATTAAAGTAGCTGGAATGAAAATTAATTAACATGAGGTCAGATGTGGGTCATTTGTAGCACCGGAGATAGCTGTTTTGCTATAGTCTAGCCAGACAGAGTGACACCTGTAGAGTCTCAGCTCATTCTGAGACATACTTGAGCTGCTCCTTTGAGGCATGTTTGGGATAGGAGGATAAGCCTAATTGCTGGTTGGGAGTCAAGATATCTCCATTGTTATGGGAATGGAGCTTAATTATAGGTCAATCGTGATGAACAAACCTCAGCCTCATAGCATCCTAAACATCGCTGGTCTCTAACAGGTCTCCATAGCATACTTACCTTTGGAGGCAATGCTCCTTTAGCTGAATTTCCTTTGTGTTATTCAATGTTCCCTAAGCAAATCTATTAGTAAATCCATTCTAGCTTCAACTCTATCACTCCAGGCCTCTTCTACATCAATATAAGTTCCCTATTCCTTAATTTAGACACCTGTCTTCTCAGTAAATCTGATAAACTAATATACACTTACAGTTACAGTTAAATTATAAGTTTAATTTTATAGAAAACAGAGACTAGGAAATAGCACAGTGATCTCAATATAAGAATTTATTTTTGCAGAAAATGAAACACTTCATTATATTACATAGTGATTATATATTATGAGCAATGCAATTTTTATGTATAATGGATTAACAGAAAACTATTAAAAGCACTGTAAGCTATAATTTAAGAAATTGCTATAATTTTCCAGTATTACTTAGGTTTTTACTTTTTCCAGAAGTAACCTTCCAGATATTGTTGGCAATGATTATCTGAGAGAGAAAAAAGAAACAATGGCTTGATTCATCCCTTCACTTCTCAGAGAATGTGTTTATTTAAACCCTTTTACTGGAGAACATAAAGATACATATTTCAGTGAACAGCAGGAAAATAGACCATCATAATTTAAAGGTGTTAACAGTTTTTACATACTTTTCCTATTATACTATGCTGTTACAGTCCTTAGTTCATCATTTAATATTTGTGACATCAGAGAATCACAAAAGTTGGTCTTTATTTAAAAAGAAAATGATGAATCCTCTCACAATACGATAATCTCTATGTTCAGTGTGCCAATTATGTGGTCCATGGGGTCCTATGTATGTGACCCCTGTGATCCTTAAATAAAATTCAATATACCCTGTGTGCCTTCTCAGGGATTCAGAATGTTATTAGTTATCATCTTGATTGTATTTTAAAAGACATCCTGAAAAGAACATATTTAAATCAATAGTGCCAGAACTGTCATTGAAATAGCAAAGAAAAGATGAGGCACTTTTCAGGAGAGTATGATTAAATCCTAGAATTTACCTGCAGGCTAGGTTAGGAATATGATGCTTAAAAATGGGACGAGGATAGGTGATTGACAGCTCCAGGTGCCTCTAAGTACTAGAACTACTCCACTTGGTTCTTTAGCAAACCCAGAGACCTTTGTAGTCTTTTCCATGATCTAGTCTCTTTTTTTCTTCTTTCCTGTCTTAACAAACTTTTGGAATACAAACAAACAAGATTTTGCAACCAAGAATATAGCAGATGCCACACAAGCCAGCAGGAACCCAATCACATCCAGCGAGTGGTACTGAAACCAACTGAGGTCATGTGCTGCCACACGCAGGTGTTTGGCTCCCTTGTGGCGCATGACAAACTCAACCCAGAAGACAGCTCGGTCCAGGGGCTTCACTGGCTGATCATGGTGGATTCTTGATAGTCTCATAGCATTTTCTTTATAACTTGAAAAAATGCACAAATGGACATTTTTAAGTGATACATGTTTAACTAGTAGTTTTTTTAATCGCAAGTACATTTTTTACAGACTTAACAGTTTTAACTTTTCTCAAACAGCATGCAGAGCCAGGCAAGCCAGCCAGGTTGAGACACTACCTAAAAACAACAAACAAACAATCCCTCTCAAAAAAAAAACAAAACAAAACAAACAACATAGAGAGCTAAGTATGTGGAACACAATGTATGTTTTCTCTTGGAGTTTCTCAGTAACTAGTGAAGAATTAATAAATTTCACTTAGGTCTGATCATAGCATAAGCTTCCAGAGTGTATTCATGGAGATGTGGAAAGTAATGTGCTTTGGGAAGAGATGTCTTATTGCTTCAATGACATCCTTAGTGCTAGGGAAAAGTGAGTGGAGCTGGGTATTCAAGAGCCACTGTGGAGTCTTTTCACATTTGTTCTTCTTTGTGCACAATAGTGGAGATGTGGCAGGTGCCAGCGGATAGGGAAGAGAGGGTCAGTTTTCTTTAAAGGATTAGCTCCTCATGTCTTAACAATGTTCCAGTGGATAAACCCAAACACATGGGCATGCGCACAGCACAAAGTGGCTTATTAAAAAAACTCAGACAAGAAATGGAAAGGAGTGTATCTGGAAAGAGTTGGGGGAGATATGAGATGGGTATGATCAAAATACCATATATACATGTGTAAAATTCTCAAAGAGTAAAAATATAATACTAAAAGTATCTACGTGTTTTCAATTGTATTTGAACTCTAGTCACTTAAATGCAGTAGTTTACATGTTCATTCCAATGGATTTTAAGTAAATGGTGTTTTATTCACAAATAGAATTTTTGGTTAATATTTTCAATAGACACTTTAAGTTTAAAATTTCCATGTTTGATTGATATAATTTCTATGAATACCAAAGAACTGTCATTTTATAATAAATAATGCAAGATTAATGACCATATTCACATACCATTTCACATTTTAGAAGCAATGTAATATAACTGTCAAAAATTCTAAATAATTAACATCACATCACTATCATTTAAATATTAATATATAATCTTTCATACTTTTAAATTTTTGTGGAATTAGAGACTGGAATGCAAATAGCATATCCTTGTGATTTTAGGTAAAATCAGTAGTGGAATTAACCTTGGAGTTTATGTGATGTTTCAAATGACATGTATTTTAGTATTTAGGTGGAATTTTCTGACAGTAGTTGTGATTCTATTTTCTTGCATTTGTGGTTTTAAAATACAGCATAAAGTCTAGTGACCATTCTGTGCAGTTGAGCTGAAAAGAATCCATAGACTTCCCTACTATAACATTTAATAAAATGAGCCAAGTTACCAGCAATTAAAATCCTGGTAATGGTATATTGAATAGACTGCAAGGTCAACATTTATGAATGATGAAAACTCATACTAAGAATTACTGATGTTTCTAACCCATAATTCAGTTCCTTAACTAAGGGTTTTATAATGTTCAGAGGATTGCAAAATACTCAGAAGTAAGTGTTAACAGTAATGATTGGTCACACTGTGTTAGTTATTTATGCGTGATTAATGTTGAGAACATTATCACTTCCATTTTGTCTATACTGAATGGTTTATAATGCTTAACTTCTTATTTATATTTATAAAATAAAAACCACATAAGAATGCATGCTAATAATACAGTTGGAAGATATAGTGACTGTATATCTAAAGCAGATTTATTTCCTGTTTTTAGGATAGTTGAAATTGAAAGAAGCTGTGTTTACATTTGTTTCTGGTTATTTGAGTTTAAATCAAATTCAAAAGTATGAAATTTTGGACATATTCCAAAACAATGGACAGCCTGACCATGACAGACAGGGCTTATAAAGCTTCAACACTTACGATGGGTCATTGATGACTGTTCTCAGAGCATTGAGCAGATCTACACTCTCCATTGTATTCATGTTCACCTCCACAGCTGCTCCCTTGGCCTTCATGTGAGCGATGTTGTCAGGCTGATCAGCAAACATGGGGAGTCCCACCATAGGGATCCCATGGTAAATGGCCTCATAGATTCCATTTGTTCCACCATGAGTGATAAAAGCTCTGGTTTTGGGGTGTCCTATTTTGAGGGCAAAGGGAGGAATGGGTATAGATTTCAGGCTAATTAGTTGACAGAAATTCAGAAGCAGAAGGGACAAAGGATTACAGTACAAGGCAACATTTTCTATAAACATTGGGCATATGAGGCATTGCTGCTCCAGGAAACTATCCTCCCAGAGAAAGGGGAAATGAACTCTTCTTCTTTGGAAGGTGTTACAGAGGTTGTAATGTCTCACATTTGATGGAAACTTGAAGACTGATGAGATTTTTTAGATTCCCTCTTGTGCATGGCAAAACTGTGGATCTATACAATTTAATTACATTTGTCTTAAATCGGGAGGTGAAGGTCTGCACTGTGTAGCTCAGCAGTGGAACATTTGCTTTGTATGCATTCTTTCCTGGAGTCACTACGCAGTACTACCACAAAAGAGAAACTTGAAGCAATGTAAGAAAGTTTAAAATTATCAGATGTTTTCAACTGACTTGATGGTAAGTAATTGCTTTAACTCTCTCTTGTCTACCAGGATTTATCTGGCCCCAGAGTCTTACCAAGAAGATCATTTTGGGGAATCCAATCAAACAGCCGTGTATTGGATCCTAATGTGGCTGGTATCTTGCCCTTGTACCGCCACAAAACCTGTGGAAGACAATGTATGGTAGAATATCATTTTAAAGAGTATTGCTTTTGTTAATGCTGTGGAACATTTGTTTAGTGATGTAAAGATGTGTGACTTTTGCTTATGGGGCATCTGTTTAACTCTGTGAAGCTGTGTTACTGTGCGTGTCTAAAACACCTGGTGGTCTTCATAAAGAGTTGAATGGTGACCAATAGTGAGGCAGGAGCAAGGACAGGAGGGGCTGGCAGGCAGGTGCTTCCCAATGATTGATGTGAGCTTCCGGTTTGGAGGCCAGTGTTTCTTTACCACCATCTTTTCTTCCTTTCCCTTCGTACTTTCTGCTCCTTTCCTTGTTTTCCTTCCTCTCTTTTTCTTTCCTCTTCTTTTTTTTGCCACTTCATGTCTATCTCATTCTTCCACTTTTTGTTTGATTCAATTTTATTTTTTGAGGGAGAACTAGATAGGTCTTGCCTATAAATCACTTTTTAAAAACTTATTTTTGGAATAATGAGACAAGTTTTTAATTTATAAATGAGAAAGATTGAAAGAGACAAGTGTATGCATAAAAGCCACAAATTTTGAGATGCCTAGTAGCATAATACCTTTGTACAATCCTATGGATAGTAATCAATGCATGACAGATTCTAGATTATTCCATGAATAGCAACTTGAGTTGAAGAATTATAATGATAAATTATAAAATTAACTGTCATAAATTATAAAAACATTGTATTTTAAAATAATATTTGAATTTGTTTTTTTACAACTGTAGAATATTTGATTTAGAAAGAACAATAGATTCTAGGCTTTTTCTTGTAACACCTATATTTTCATGTGGCCTTAATGAGATTCAGAAAGTTGGAGTATAGTTTTTAGCACAATTTCTTTAAAGGGTGTATACTGTTTATGCTGGTAAATCAAATTTCAAAACTTCAGTGGCAGTCAATCCAGGCGAATGATTTTAGAAGTGGCCTAATGTTTTCTTTTCTATTCTATTAATAGAAAATGACTGTATGTCTATATTTTCACAGTAACTGGATACTAAAGCAAATAACAAATATGTCTAAAAATACCATTTTTATGTTCTATCACTAATTATTGAAAGCTGAAATTCATCGTGTTCAGTGCTGACAGGTTTCAGCTTCAAGCTGTAAGTACCACTACCAGTTGCCACTACAAAAATCGACAATTGTATCAGTCAAAAGCAGTTCTGGTCTCCAGGATCTGGTGTGGTACTTACCTTCTGAGGAATCTGGGCAAGGGCTGATGCAATGAGACAGGCCTTTTCTTCTGTCAGATTTTTGACCATTGACCCCAGAGAAAACACCACAATACCATGTTCCCCTGAGCTCTGGACAAATTCTTCCATTTCCTGCAAACATAACATCCTATTGAAAATGTGTAGAATCATTAGGTGAGATTTTGTTCACTTACAATTCTAGGTATAAAAAAATGGAACTAAGGGTCAAAGAAATTTTTCTGTCTGTCTCTTTCCATGTGAAAGCAGATAGCAACCATATGAGGAAATGTGTTTCCAAAAATGCATAAAGTATATACAAGAACAAATATGACACCAAGTCACCATAGAAGGGAGCAGAAAATAGGGACAGCACCTCTGTTTTTAAGTTGACAGGTAATGCACAAAGTTTAACTGAAAGAAAATGAAATGTTTATTGAATTGGATAAACATAATTAAAGCCAGAGAGTCAGGCTTTTATAATTATTGTTATGTGTGATGAACATAAATAATGCCAATATAATGATCATATAACTATTATAATATTTGAATCCGTCTTTCCATTTTATTATTTTTGTTTGATGTAGAGTCTCAGTCTGCAATAAATGCTCTTTGTTGATCAAACCAAATGTTCTCCAAAAATCATTTAAAATATCCTTTTATCTCCTTAATGAGATTATGCTAAGACCTAAAGTCATCATCATCATCATCATCATCATCATCATCATCATCCTCACCCTCATCATCAGTTCCTGGAGTTTCCATACCTGTCACTACTATGACAGTACAGGTCACCACCATGTCTATTAACCCACAAAACTAAGGTCTTGAGGGCCCTGCCTGATTCTGTGGGCCCTCCACATGGTGCCTCATCAAATCCTCAACAAATAAGAACTTCTCATGAAGGCATCTTTCTCTATTAAACAGTGGGGAAACGTGTCCCTGTTCACAGTTCTGTCTGGCACACAAGAATACTTCAGCAGGACTCCTGGTGATCTATCTATAGCTATACTTTTTCATCCCCCATTACAGTATCCACACTATAGAGACAGACGTTTTCACACACCTTTACTCTCTTTTAAATCTTTATTGAAAATAGATTCTTCTTTCATACAATACATCCCTACCACAGGTTCCCTTTCCCCCACTCCTCCCACCTCCCCACCAACTCCCTCTCCCCAAGATCCACTCTAAGCTTAAATTCTCAAGTCCAAATGATCCACTATAGTTCAGAAAGAGGAACTGTGATGAGAGCAATAAATACCCCTAACATAAAAAAGCTACTCAGTAATACATCTCTGTTATTAAAGTTGTTTACCTGGAAGGAAAAATCGACAATTGTATCACATAATGCCTAAGACCTTACCCTTCATAGACTTACCTTGGGTAAAGGCTTTGCAGGTTTGCAGTGCAGTCCTCCTACAAACTCAAAATTAGGTAAATATGGACGAGGAAATTCAAAATCCCAATATGTTCGCATCAGCCATATCTCAGCTTTCCCCATAGTCTCACATAATGTGGTGGGTCTTCCTGAAGAGTACATATAATATTTCATGGACAGAATTAGAACTTAAGTAAAAAGGTATCACACATATCCTTATAAACCATTGGGAAGAAAACAGGTCAGCTAGGACGCTTGTCATGGCTACATTTTAAAAGAAAAGGACAGTGTGAAAAAGAGGGGATTTAGGGGTAGTGAAAGGAAGGTAATATACAAGAACCATCTCCTATCAATAAAGCAATAAAAATTTAAGTGTAGCTACAACTACCAATGAATCCCACAACAATTTCTTCTCTTTAATAATCAACAGAAGGTAGATTATTTATACACTGTTAGCTACTTGTCACCTTCCAATTGTTCTCCAGTCTCTAGCTAGGAACTAATTTCTATTATGCACAGTGTTATAGTCTCATTTTCAGCATGATGTTAGAAGATTCCTGTTCTGCAAATGATTTGTCCCTATTGTCTCAGTCAGAAAGCCCTAATTAATTCTCTCTCACTACAATACACTTTGAAATGTGAGATACAAATATAGGGATCACTAATATCTTTCCTTACACTTACTGTGGAACTAGAAAAATATTAAATACTACTCTCAAAAGATGTTTAGAGGTGATTATGTTAAAAGACTAAGAGTAGACAATTCTACACAAAGAAAACATGTGCTACAAACGAGAAATGAAACACTCAATGAAACTCTTTCACCATTGGTCTTGTGCAGGAAGTTTAGGTATAATTTTAATGGTCACAATTTAGTATTGTTTGGACACATGCATGAATTCACACAGCCTGACGGCATAGTTAGACAGCAAAGAATGCTGAAATTGGAGTTTCCAGGCAGTGCATTAAAAACATCTCACACCTCCCCACCAAGTTTTTATATCCCTTGCTTGGTTTATACTCTATGTGCTTCTCCCAGCCCTCAGGACAAGTTTAGTAGGTGACTTTCATATGCCTAGATTTAATAAGCAATTACAATAGTTGCTGAATTCTATGTTAAAGCAGCCAGACAAGGATAATTGAAATGACACAGTTAGCAATGTAGTTGTCTGGCAGCAAGAGGCCCTGAACTTACATTCTTAGCATTCTATAAAAGGCTGTCAGTAGCACATACCTGTGATCCCAGTTCTGGGGATTTAGAGAGAAATGAATACTGGGAACTAAATTGATAGCCAGACTAGCCAAATTGGGATTGAAGCTTAGTGAGAACTTATTTTAAAAGTGAAGGTGAGAGCAATAATAAAAGACAGCAGATGCCCTATAGTCCCCACACACATCAACACATGACATACACACACACACACACACACACACACACACACATTCACACATTCACACATACTCAAAGCAGTGATTCATGATTATAAATATGTAGCCCATGGAAAGTAAAGATCATTTGAGCAAGTATTTATACTTGTTGGCAAATCATTTCTTTTTTTTGTGACTCTTAGATAATGTTATTTATTATTTCACACAAAAGTTGGAGACTAATGTTACAACTATTAACTACCTCTATCCCATCCACCCACCCCTCAAACTATTCTTGTGAGATGGGGGAAATAATAAAAAGACAGAAACACAAGACAGAACATCTTTGCACACTGATACCAACGTGGCCATGACACCAGAGGAAAACAGTCACCGCCAGTTACCACAGATGCCGACAACCAAGGGCACTGGGCTCAGAACAGCGCCATTTCAGGCCATGTTTTGTTTTTTTGTTCTTTTGTTTTGTTTTGTTTTGTTTTGAGACAGGGTTTCTCTGTGTAGCTTTGGAGCCTATCCTGGCACTCACTCTGTAGACCAGGTTAGCCTCAAACTCACAGAGATCCACCTGCCTCTGCCTCCCAAGTGCTGGGATTAAAGGCATGTTTTGGGGCTCTGCAGAAGTAATTGGGGCTGCTGGTTTCAAAGTTCAGGCCACTGGCTGGATATGCTTTTGGCGAGGGAAAAATGTGCCAAGCATCTCCTTCCATTGCAGAGAGAGAAGAGGGCACAGGGAGGGGTCTAGGAGCCCCAAAAGCTTCTTAGGGGCCCAAGAGAAGAGAGACAGGCAAGATTCTCTCCTAGAGAAGAGAAGGCCCTTCATGGACAGAGTTCACAGCCCCTGGGGGACAGCACATTTGCATTTACATGGCATAAATTCCCACTGCCACTGTTGCCATCAGAAAGCTAAGAGTCAGGACCCATCGGAAGAGTGGTGCCTGGGATGAGCTAGTGTTGATCTGGGGCTTCCCTCAGGATGTCTCTGCAGGTGTAGAGTCTTGCACCAGGCTACCAGGTCACCCTGTCACCCTGTGCTTGACCTCAGGTGTCATCTCCAGAGTGTTCATGCAAGAATAATAGAGCTGTTTGAACTTGGTCGGGCTGTCAATGTTGGGGAAGGTGAAAAAGACCAGGCCCTCACCAGAGCTGGGCAGGCCTAGGGCCTTCTGTGCAATCTTCTTTAGCACCTGGCCCCTTGAGAGGTCACCCAAGTAATGGGTGTATGTGTGGGCCACCAGCAGCTCGGGATGAGTGAGCCCTATCTAATGGAGGTGGCTCACATAGTGCTGTGTGGCCGGTGTGTAAGGGATGATCTTCTGCCAGTGGGGACCATACCAGAAGGCCATGTCTTGCTCCAGAGTAGCCCTTCAGTGCAGTTCCTCAGGGAAGTAGAGCAGGGAATAGACTGGGTTCTGCTTATTGGGTTCTACCTCCTCCTCCAAAGCCTTGTAGATGTGGCACAAGGAGGCCATCACCAGCTTAAAGCCTTCCCTGGTCACCTGGCAATTCTGAAAGTTCCTCATGAACTCAGCATTCTCTGCCTGGATGTGCACGTCCTTGGTGGCCTCCTTCAAGTCCTTGGGCATGCTGTTGGGCTGTGGTGGGCATTCCATCACCGGGCTGGGCTGGCTCAGGCTGGTTCTTTCTGTCAGCTTTAGGCTCCCCTCTAATGCTCGAGAGGGCTCTGCTCCGGCAGCCTCCACTCAGTGGTTGTCTGCGGAAACGCTGGAGGCTACAGGCGACTGTCAGCAAATCATTTCTTAACATATACTTTTAACATACTTAGAGGGCAAAAAGATTGTGGAAGCCAAAGGATCAGGGAGTTTGCTGTGACATTGCAATTTCTAGTAATGTCAGAAGCTGCACTGTCAGTCTTATGCTCAAATGGGAACTGAACAAGGACAACAATAGAAATGACAGGGTGGACAGGGGAAAGACATGGAGGACTCAACCCTACACAAAGAACTACTGGTAATGCTAAAAGTAGTAGAAATAGTCTTTCCCAGAGAGAAACACACCAATGGTTTTCCTCTACCAAGAGGTCAACCCTAAAAACATATTTAAGTAATATTATACAGACCAACCAGGTTGTATTTATGTATTTAGGAATATAATTGGCACAAACTTATGCATGTATGTTATAATTAATGAAAAATAGGCCATGATTTTGAAAGAGATTAGAAAGACATATATGAAAGGGATTTAAGGGGAAAAGGGCAAGTGAGGAAATGATATAATAATATATTATCACAAATATAAGAGAAATATATATATCTAAAAATCATAAACTATGCTAAGGTGTACTTAACCAGATATATAAAAATAGTTTACCATATAAAATCAATAATCACAATATACCAAATTGACAAAATAAAGAATTAAAATATTGCGATAAAAGGGCATTTTCTATTAAATTGATTTTCACTTGTAGCTTTTATGTATTTTGATAGCATCTATTATATTTTGAGGTATCACAAAGCATTCTGGTGAGAACTTCATATTTCCCAGTTGCTAGGAGAATGATATGTTGCATTTGTCCTGCTGCTTGCCAAAGTGGAAATGTTGGCATTATATTCTCAGCTAGGTCTATAAGCTCACATAGTGAATTTTCAGTGATCTCACTCTCATAGGGCACAGGGATTCTTTCAAACTTCAGTGCAGAGCATTTGATGTGCTGTGATATAGGAAAATATTCTGATAAGTCAGAACTGTCACCATTGCCTACTCGCAGTGAGCTCCTTGAGAAGAGGCTTTTAGTTTGAGCCAACGGCTCATACCCTAAATGCATTCAAGGACCATGCTTGGAAATCATCCTCAGCAATACAAACTCACAGCAGAAGGACAGCTGAGCCACAGCAGAGCCACAACCATGTCACAGCAGAGCCACAGCACAAAGATAGCTGAGCCACAGCAGAACCATAACAGAGCCACAGCAGAAGGACAGCTGGGACACCGCAGATCCGTAACAGAGACACAGCACAAGGATAGCTGAGCCATGGCAGAACCATAACAAAGCCACAGCAAAGCCACAACAGAGCCACAGCAGAAGGACAGCTTGGCCACAGCAGATCCATAACAGAGCCACAGCAGAGCCACAAGACAACCTCAGGAAGAGGAGAGCTGGGCCATAGCAGATATATAACAAAGCCACAGCACAGCCTCATCAGAAGCACAGATCAGCCATAGTAGAGCCATAACAGAGCCACAGCGACAGAATTGTCATGGTCCATTTCTGAGAAATCACTTTTGTGCCTCTTCACCCTACTCTGCAGAGGTTGAGTGTCTATTCAATTGATGTGGCAATTTAAATGTGAAGCAAATGAAATATTAACTTTCAGAGTTATAAAACCACAAAAGGAGAAAAATCTGACAATTATTGGTTGCAAGATAAATAAAACACCCAGAGACAGATATTGGGGTTCCAAGCTTCAAACTGATGAGCAGAAAAGAAAAGCAGCCAGCCACTAGCTCTTACCTTTATCTCATCACAGACCAAAGGGGCAATCCTCAAACTGCTCCTGACTTCACACCTCAGACTCACTCAGACTGCTATGCTCTCCTCAGTGTGGCTAGAGACTTCAATGTTTTCCTGTCCTCACTGTGGGTAGAGAATGAATGCTCCCTCTGAAACCCTGTGTCTGTCTTAAATGCCTTTCATGAGTCCTGGGATTAATGGTGTGTGCTCCCAGTGCTGAGATCATCTTTGTGTGAGCTATTTGTCATTAGGATTTCCTACATTTCTTACAACTCAGTGTGGCCTTGA